ATAAATCCGAGTATATTGAGTGTGAACATCAACAAATGTTAGATAATATGGGTAGCCATTGGTGGAAAGATGCGTGATGGTCCCAAACATCACTAAGAACAAGTTCAAAGGCATTATTATACATAGTAGTAGATGATGGAGCATGTATTCTATGTGCTTTACCCAAGCAACAATCACTACAAAAATCAAGAATTGATTTATTATGAAATGGAATATTACACATTTGTAACACTGCCTTGACTGCATTGGAATTAGCATGACCTGAACGATTATGCCATGTACAAAAAGAACTGGAATTAGAAATCACAACATTATTCACAATTACAGAATGATTAAAAGATGCGTTATTGTGTGAGGGAATATTCTTGAAGGTGTAGAGAGACCATCAACACCAACTGAACCTTGAAGTAACACTTGCTTAGACACCTATGATTTCACAAAACAACAGTTTGAATGAAACTAAAAATAAACATTACTATCATGAAAAAATTTGGAAACTGACACCAGGTTTTTTAACATAACACTTGCCTCAAGTAACACTTGCTTAGACACTTGTGATTTCACAAAACAACAATTTGAATGAAACTCGAAATAAACATTATTATCTCGAGCAAATTTTTGGAAACTGGCACCAGGTTTTTGGTAATGGATGGTACAAGCAATAATTTGTTGAGAAAGAGTGATGTGTAGGTGGGTGGGTGATAGGGAGACACAAACTTAGAGGTACCAATAGAGGTTATAGAGAGACCTTGACCGTTTCCCATGTGAATTAACCTGATTAGGTCCTATGTAATAGTTGCTTTGAATCAAGTTGTGTGGATCTGACATCATATGATGCGAAGCTCCGAAGTTAGGATACCAAGCCTAAGTATCAACATGTTGAGGTACTTGAAATTCTTAAGTAACTTGAGGTTGCTGGGTTGCAACAAAGGCTCAAGGTTGTTGCATTTGTGAAGACATAACAGTGGTGGAATCTTGAACTTGTGTATTGCTTTGATTCACATGAGAAACAAAAGGTTGAATATACGCTTCATCAAATCGATTCCAGCAATTAAAACCATACTTATAGCATATTGTACTATGTGCCTCTTTATGTTTTAAATAAATTAAAATAAATAAAACAAATCATGTAGTTTATAATTGCATGATTATTTAAAGGGGATAAAAAAATTGAGACGAAAAAGATATTTTTTTTTAGATCTATAAGTAAAATAAAAGAATATAAAATGGTCTATATAAAAATGGAAATATTCAATACAACCGAATTTTAAAATATATAATTAAAGATATAAATAAAAATTAATATTACATTAAAAATCAAATAACACTTATTTTGAGTTTTTTCTTTTGAACACGTATGAGAAATTTCCTTTTGTACATTAACCGGGGCTGTATAATTATAAAGTTTTCCTCAAAGATAGGTTTAAAAATTAACTATGTCTGGTTTATTAAATTTAGTGTTGTCCCTTTCTCTCATTGTGCATGGAGGATAATTCCTAGTTAGAAGGATGATTACCTCCATTATGGGAATAGACGAATAGTACGTTCTGTATGATCGTGTCATTACTCCATTAGATTGTCAATTCTTACCTATACTTGAGTTTAATAGCCAAATATTTGAAAACTATTTGACCAATCAAGTTGGCCCAAATCTATAAGAAAGATCTATATTAACTAAGCTTCTTCCATTTTATTTTTATCATCTTAGAGTCCTATATTAATAAAGACATTTATATAATGAGAATAGTTTTTCTTTTTAATGTTTTCAATTATATGAAATCATACCTTGTAAAGTGATTTCTTAGTTAACATTGAGATTGAGCTTCTGCTATATTGCTCTCATCTCGCCTAAAAATAAAAGATCGATCCACGCTTCTTCTGAGATGAGGGCAAAAACAAAATGATTTAATGCGCAACCTAATAAACATTATTACAATAAGAGAATTCCGATATGGCATCTTAAAAATAATTAAACACATGCATCATTTCTTACACATTCTCACCGTTCATATTATGAGCATCTTGATATAAACATGCCAATTATTTGATGCCCTTGTGGGCAAAAGAAGCTTCCCATCAAATAGCACCATTCACTCACATGTTATGCTTTTGACTATTGATGAGTTTGAGTCCCATGAAGCCTCATGTCATGTACTTTGTGACATCGAAGTACTTGCAACACATGGGAATTACTAACTTTAACAATGAAATATACATAACTTCATATCTAGCTGTCCAAACTAGTGCGTGATATGTTTATGTTTTGTCGAATGAATGGCATATTAAAGAAGGATGCAGTATTCTCACAATCTAGCAACCATAATTGAATATTTATATTTTCATAATGTTGTGCATGAGTCATGTTTAGAATGGACATGTTGATGTTGGAGTGTAAACGCATTGGACCAAAGTGTTGTAGATTGAACTTAAACAGCCTATATCTTAAGTTACATACCAATTAGATTGAAAATGCGAAACGAAACCCTCATAATTTATATATATTTGATGTAACATTATTTTTAATAAATAATCATATAGCTGCTATGCTCCTACAGACATAAGTATAATGTCAAACTTCATTAATTTGTTGTTCGTGTGTAAGTGCTAATTCCATTCTTTTGGAAATCGATTGCTATTTGCCTATTGCTAACACATGATAATACTAAAAACTTTCATGTAACTTTTCTCATCTTTAGCTAGTGATCACAACAATACATACTTCATGCATATACTTGCTTTCCTTGTTCAGAATCGTATATATTACAATAGAACATAGGCAAATTAATTCAGTTCAGATCCACGTAATTATTGTCGCTCTTAGCTATACTTGGCATTGTCCACTTCATCATTATTTAATTTCTGCAGGAAAAAAAGCGCTTGTCATATTTAACTTTCAGAACAAGCAGGTTGAGGCAAAAGTAATCAATCCCCTTTACTATGACATACTTGCACTATTGTGTAACAAATTTTTACGACACTTTGTAAAGAGTCTAGATTCGTGTACTTACGGTATAAAATAATTTATTTGGGTTCATAAATATTTAAATTTAATGACACTAGGAAGAAACTAGCTAGGACAACCCCAAGCGTGTAGTTTAGCGGTAAGGGTTGATCCACGCTTAAGTAAGGTCAGGGGTTCGAATTTTGTCTTGTGTATGCAGTCGCGTTAAAGCTTGGGGCCAGCTATCCCTCCCTTTTAGGTGCCTCCAACGTAACGAGGAGATTAGTCACTGCTATCGGCAGTGAATACTCCAGGAACGAACAAAAAAAAAAAAAAAGCTAACTAGAACAATTTGTTCAAATTTTTAAATTACAAAAATTTCCTTAAATCCAATTTATAAAGACAAATATATTTCATTAGTGCTCATAAATATTTAAAATATTTTTATTTTGGTACGAAAACAGTCATGGGCAGCTCCCATGAATAAAATGATGGCCAATGCTTTGGCAATCTTTGGCCAACTGCTTTTTCTTTTATTATTTATTACTTTTACTTTTATTTTCCCTTCGAGTGCTTTGTTTTTACTTTGTTTTTTTTTTTTTTTTACAATCATAGTTCCTAACACCTGTCGAGCTTTTTTTTAAATTTCTCTTGGATTCAGTAACAACCTATTCCGGCATAAAAAAAATTATTATTAGACCCTACCAAGTCCAAATTGTAATATTTTTTTTTATATACATACACTTTATTTCATGCTTACCATGACAGTGGATAACTGATCAATTTGACTCAAATATTCTTTCCGCATGATGATTCAAGTATTTGAAAAATAATAATTTAAAATAAACTCTTAATTAGCATTACAAAGAAAGTTAACCAAAAATTGTAATTCATTTACCTAGGGTGACAAACTAGTAATTTCTCTTGCAATAAGTTATATTGTTGAGTTCAAAAATTTGATCCTCCCCCCTTTGTTATATATAATAACTAATACAATTAGAGACCGTTTAAATACAAGTTAAAAGTGATTTTTAAAGTTTTTCTATTAAAAATAAAAAATATTTTTCATAGAAAGTCTGAAAAGTGTTTCTAAAATTATATCGAAACATTCTTTTAATCTTTTATACTATCTTAGCACACTACTATATGTAGCTTTGAAAAATGGCACTGGCACGAGCACGACAATATGTTTCATACTTTCATGTTATCAGTGACATACAACTCACTGTGCAGTTTGGGGCGCACAAACTATAGTTCGACTTGCCATTAAATTTATTTATTCTGTTTCCAGAAAAGCTTTTTTTTTTTTTTTTCCAAATGCCAAGATATTGTTCGAATATGCAAAATAAAGTGATCAACATATGTTGCAAACTTCAAGCTTACAATGAAATAATGCAGCTCCTGATATAACAAGATATCGTAAGGAAAGAAATAAACAAAATATGATGTTTTGATAAGGGTAAAAAAAAAAAAACTGTTTCAAACCTGAAAATTATAGTTTCTATTTAAAAAAAAAATTAAATAAGAGAGGTTTTATAAAAGTTAAGTGTGTAAGATCATTTTATTTTATTTTATAGAAACCATTCCCATATAGTCAACACGCTCAAATTGAGTAGGACTATAGTGAATTTAAGATTAATGGTTAAAATAAAATAATTCTATGTTAGTTATAATTTATAAGCTAAGTAAATAACTAATTCTTTAAGATACTAAAATCTATTTACAGAGTTAGTCTTTTTTAATAAATATTTACATATAAATCAGAATTGAAATTCTAATATATATTTAAAAAGATAATAAAATTATCTGTCAACTATATTATATTTTATTAGTATGAAAAATCTTTAAAATACACTTTTTTAAACACATTCTTTTTAGTTAATTAAAATTTATTAAAAAAATACACTTTGGTGTGTCTCATTCCATATTTAACATCTCCTCTAATTTTGTAATTTTTAATAAATTAAAACTAATAAAAAATGTATTAAGAGAAGTGTGTTCACCACTCCTTCTTATCATATTCAAAGACGAAATATGCCCTAAAATCAATCAATTGAAATAACATATTAGAAGCAACTACATTTCCAAATTCCAAGTGGTTTCAACACTAAGTTTGGGAGCTTTTAATTCCTCATCCAATTCTAGAGATGCTGCAATCTGGAAGACAGGACTTAAAGTTAAACAACGTGTGTGAAGAAACAAAAGGATGTTGTTACTCATAAAAAACAGAATATAAAGATCACATGTATTAACCTTGAAGCAACCATTGTGTTTGGAATCCCGTGCCCATTCAAGGCCCAAAACCTTGCTGAATGTCTGGTACGAGGCCTTCAACGTGTCATCACCGAAGACCCTCCTCGAAACGGAAAAGTCCCACGTGTTCTTAGCCACGTCATAGGAAGGTTCAAACGTTGTCAACCCCTTATGAACATAAGTGTACTTCAACTTGCAGATTCTCGAGTCAAAGGCGTAATTAACAGAGACCTTGTTCGCAGGAGCGAACTCAAAGGTTCCGTCCAAAACGGTCTTGTTCTCGCTCCTGCTGTGTTCGTACGTCAAATTCAAGGGTCTCTCCCCAACCCTCACCGTCTTCATAAACTTAAACCCAAAGTTCTACAACCAACAAACCAAAACGGTTTAATTAACAACTAATATCTCGTTAGTGAGATATATCTATTGTTAAAATAATGTAACTGGGAGGGATCTTTAATATTTGTATCTTTTTTTTTTTGTTAGTTTGGAAGAAGAGCTCAGGGCATGTCAATGTCTCAAACCTAGGATGTATCAATGGTATTGCAATAACCAAACATTAGAACAACCATAGACGTATAAAATTTTCTTTAAACACTTAAAAATAGAAAATAAAATAAATTGAATTTTTTTTATAATTAAAATAAATTTATGTTGTCTAACATTTTGAAATATCTCAAAATTATATACAACAACTTATACATTGAATATTTAGATTTTAATTTCTATGTATGGATAGTGTATAAAAAAATTACATATTCAATCAATCAATAAAAAATTATATTATGTATGATTTTTAAATAATATTTATAAAAATTAATAAAATTATTGTATATGATAATTCCTAATTAAAGAAATTTTTGGAGAAAATTATCCATAACTTGTATAAAAAAAAAAGAAGTTATAAGCTAAATCTGTTTATATGTATAAATTAATATATAGAAACTTTTATATATTAATTTTTCAAAGTTTATTTTTAATTTATGTATAAAATAATTTATTTTTATTTTTTTCTCTTAAAAGTAGTTTCACAATCGTACCATACTACAATATTCTATTTTCTCTAATTTTAATATTACAGAAACAAATGTTACTATATATGAATAATTTTGTCAAAGTGAGGGTACCTTCTTGGGAACGTTGTAATCGACAACGAAAGAGTCGGGTTTGTGGACGGAGAGAACAAAGCCGGTTAAACTTGGACAGTGTACGAACGTTGTTACGGAAGCACCGACCTTAACGTCGCCGGCTTTGACGGCGAAAGTGGCGGCCGCGCCGGCCCTTTTGTTGTCGTCGTAGGAGCCCTTCAAAGTAGCCTCCATGGATGCAATAGCCAAGAGTAAAAGTTCTTCAAATGCGGAATAAATCTAGCTACTTAATTATATATTCACATACCCTTTTTCTTTTTTCTTATCTCTTTCTTTACTCGCCTTTTACTTTTTCTTTCTTTTCTTTTCTCCATATGCATGTAACTCATGCTGCCATTGGTGTAGCTAGCCCAGATATAATATATCTGTTATGTATGTATAATTTATACCATATTTACATGGTTGTGTTAAATACCGAGATACATCTTTTTTTTTTTTGTTCGTCCTGTTCGTCTCTGGAGTATCTACCACCGATAACAGTAACTAATCTCCTCGCTACGTTAGAAGCACCTCAAAAGGTGAGATAGTTGACCCCAACATCTGATATATATATATA